TATAGATTAGTTAAAGAAAAACATTAGGTTAGGTTACAAAGTAAGTTCTTAGAATAAGAAATAATAAACTAAAACCTAATAACACTAGTCTTACTTAAGTAAAGTGTCGTTGGTTAAGGGTTTTTATTCATTTCTCTTGTCTTCCCTCCTTCATATACTTTTCAGTAGACGTCTTCTTTTTGGACCCTACTGAGTGGCCAAATGTGAATGTAAGCAAGTGGGGTCTTTTTGACCTACTCACTGGCTCTCTTTGTTTCCAAAAAAAAAATCTCTCATTAGATTGTTTGGAGAGATGTCTCATATCCTTAATTATTCTTTCAGTTTGGTCTTAATGTTTCTTCTTCTTCCTTCCAGTCCATTTGTTTACAATTTTGAACTAAGATGTCAAAAAACCTCCTTTATAAAGGATAATTCAAAATCATTTATCATAATTTTTCAAGTTTTTACTCCCAACTCCTTGTGGTTCCTAAGAAATCAGGAAATTGAAGACCCTTTATGACTCGTCTTTTCCTGGAGGCACCTCATTTTCAAATAGCAAACTTGAGGCTGTTAAGGAACTTACTTTACCACAACCTTATGGATGATAATGGTGAATATACAGAATGCTTTTCATTGTATCACTGTTCATTTGTCTTTTTTTGCAATGGGAAGGATAATTTGTTAGCTCACTTCCCTTCTCTTTGGTCCATACATTTTCTTTTAACTCTTCCAACACGGGGTCGGTCAATTTGACCACGTCACGTGACCTCCTGTACTCGTTTAAAATTGACATAAATTTAATACTTATAACTCTCTATATATTGGGTATATCTTCATGAAATTTGGCAGTCTTTCAGTTAATATTACAAGTCTTTCACATACAAAAGTCATATTTCTTAGTGAAGTACTTTTAATAAAATAAAATAAAGTTTTGTCCGTGTGCAAAGCAATTTTCATGTTAAGATTAAAAATACTTTTCGTCATCTCAAAAATCTCAAATTTCCTTTTTGTAATCCCTAAAACCCCCTAAATGCATTTCAAAGTTTTTTTTCCACTAAATCCTTATAGTTTATATTATATAGTTTTGGCAGTTCCTTGGGCTCCGTATCATCTCCTCCCACTCCTCAGTGGATAGGTAGTTGATTATGGTTCATTCTATCTATTTCACTGTCATTGGCTATATCATCTTGCAAAGGGGAACCTAATCCAAATCTCTGTTTTTTGTAACTCTGCTTCTTCTTTACTGGGCTCATGATCACTACAAGGCGATCTTAGTGTGCCATGTTCCCAGTGTCATGAATCTGGTGGCTGATCACTTATATTGACCCTACCAGGTTCTCTCATCGAAGTGGTACATTTCTTGACGGGTATTTTGGTGGGAGGATTTTGTACAACCAACATAAACAAAAATTTATAGATCATGAGTACCAATTCAGCAAGAAGAAGGCTATTGTTGTTATACTTATTGCAGTACCAATTCAGGATCCAAGGTGCTTCCACCGGGTGTTTTTTGCCCTGATAGACAGCACTTGACATAACAGGTCATATCCCAAAGTGCTTCCCTCATATGTTTACTGCCCGGATGGGCCTCACTTGGCAATATCTTAAGTATCCAAAATGCTTCCCCCTGGATTTGCAAGATCCTATTGATTCTATATATCATGCAAGGAGCTTCCACTGGATGTTTTCTGCCTAGAAGGACTGCACTTAACATAATCCATTGTATTGCAAGGCTTTCCTTTGAATGTTTTTTAACAGGCAGACCACACTTGGTAATAATATTATGTATCCAAGGTGCTTTCCCTGAATGTTTTTGCCTGGGTGGACTGCACTTATTGATCTCAAAATCTTATTCAAGGAGCTTCCACTGTTATTTTTGCCTGGGCAGACCGCACCTATTGATCTCAAAATCTTATGCAAGGAGCTTCCACTGTTGTTTTTGCCCTGTGGACCACAATTGGCATAACACACTGTGTCCTAAGTTGCTTCCCCTGGATGATTTCTGCCTGGGCAGACTGCACTTGGTTTATTCACTTATGGTCTTTCAGTCCCAGCTACTTATAATCATTTTGTGTTTTTCAGGCACTTTATTATGGCTAACTATCAAAACTATGTCTTGCTACTCATGTGGACAGAATATCACATGTATGTTGACAGTGAAAGGGTTCAAACAACCCACATTAGCACTGTTTTATCTTAGACGTTTTTTTCTTGTCATGTTACGTATATCCAAGGTGCTTCTCTTGGATGTTGTTGCCTGGATGGACTACATTTGTTGATCATACAGTTTCTTCTACAAGTTGCTTCCACTGGATGTTTTCTGCCTGGATGGACAACACTTGTTGTGCCTATGATGTTACCAAAGGCATTGCCCTTGGCACATACTTATGTGAGCCAGTTGTCTCTTATTTAATACATTAGTGCATGCCAATTCAGTTTTTCCAGTAATGGGGTTCTGATTTTAATTACTGGGCGAAGAGCATACCTGTTCCAGAAGTAGTGATATACCCCTCAGGTATGCTTTCCCTTAATGATTTTGCACACCATGAGTACAAACTTTTAGCAATGCTTATAAGGCAGACTAGGATTGAGATAACTCTGGGTGAGGTAGGTAAATACCTATCAGAAATACATTTTCAGTGACAGAGTTTGTAAAATTTATATTAAAAATATCTTAATCTGAACCTTTCACTTATACAGTGGGCTGAGTATGTTATATTAAAATGATTTTAAATAAACAAGTTAGTTACAACCTATATAAACTCACAGTGGGATGGAATGTATCAGAACTACATTTTAATGTTATTTGTCATTTCATGGGTTTGTAATACCACCAAACATTGATTGCTTTTAAGAAGGGTATGTAACAGCAATTTCAAATATATTCATATGCTTGGATCAAAATGATGGGTGCATATTGAGAATTTAGAATTTCTTAATGGCATTGGAATATGGATCTACTTAGGGAATCAAGACCATCCAGAAAGATATGCAACAAATCATACCCAAGTAATTGTGTTATTAGACAATATTCAAGACCACCTGTAATTCATGTACACACAATAGAATCTGGAAAACCAGAAGTGGAGAATACAATTTAATTTAACTCATCAAGTTTGTTTTGAAAACAAATAAGAAATAAAAATTTGTAACTGAAAAGTGTATAAGATTTAAACTACGATCACAAGTTTTAATATCAGCAGGTTGATTTAATTTCAAATTATAACTTAGATATTTATTTAGTATTCCCTTTCTTATTGCCAAAGTAATTTCTTGTAAAAATTTGCAAGCTAAATATCTATATAAAGGTTTCTCTTGTATTATAAATAATAAGTTTTTACTCAGCATTTTCTAATACTGATATTATTATTATACAAAATAGTTTGACATACCTTTCAGGATATTGTGAATGCTCATGCTGGAGAATTAGCACAAGGTCTACTTGGGTTATTGACTATATGTCCCCATGAAGTAGCACATCTTAGGAAAGAACTTCTGATTGCTGCACGGCACATTTTAGCTACAGAACTTCGAAACAGTGAGTTGGGAAAAAATAATGTTTCTTGTAGAATTTTTTCTAATTGCAATTTGTATTTTTTAATGATGATACATAAACTTCAATATTTTTTCCTGTACAGTGTGTGTGTGTGTGTGTATGTATGTGTATATATATACACACTTAGTGAACTTTGCTGACTTATATGAAGAATAAAAAATATTAATATTGACAAATTTTATTTTTTAATGTTTATCTTTAACATCAAAGTTAAAACTGGAAATTAAGAAAAATGGATTCAATCCGTGCATCCCACTTTATTGAAACTAAACACTAATTTGATCCAACAAAAAATGCAAAATTTTATTTATCTGTGAAAAAAGTAAAAAAAAACAACTTAGAATTAAATAGAAGCCTAAAAACAAATCCAGAAAAAAGTTCTAAAACAACTTAAGCTCCTTCTCACCCCACTTGTTTCAAGGTGAATGTCAAGGTTATTTCTGGTTTCTTGGTTAAACATATATAAACCTGTTTACAAACCATTTCAGTCTGTACCTGATGATGCCTTTATATGTGAAACCATGATTGTTAATAAATGAAATATTTGTGAAATGTACAGTTGTCTTTGTTTTTTCCTCAATTCTGTAACAGTGAATATTTATTGACATTTAGAGATGAATTTCCATGTTTGTTTTATAAAGTCTCACTGATGTCATGATCTTTAAAGGAAAATATTATGATAAAAAACATTTTTTGACAGAATTTGTCAGCTGCATAGAAAAGTTATTTGACGAAAATACATTGATTGGAACTGGGTGGACAGCTCATGAATCATTAAGGTAGGACATGGCAAGCTTTAATAAGTAGTGCTCTGAACAGTGTAACTTAATTAAATGTACAAATCATAACAAATTTTCTATACATGCTTTTTTTATATTTAATATACAAAAAAGTACATTTAAAAAGCAAATGTATGTAAAGATGTCCAGCAATTTTAGTCTGGTTAACAGTTTACTAAAAGTACCCCTCCACCCCCCATGTGCTGTATGTGAGAGAATATTGCACCCAAAAAATTAATGTGTTAATAGGTTAATATTCATTTGCAGCTAGCAGATCATCCTTGAAAAGCTTGGATAGACAATCCATTCCATCCCACCCCACACTTAGACCTGACCTAGTTACTTCCGTCACATTAGTTTCATAAATATGGCTTGTGTGAACAGTACTTCTAGACAACTGATATTTGCTCAGCAACTGAATACAATTGGATTTATAATATAACCTCATATTTTATCAAATTACTATGATGAAACTTATGGAATGATCAATGTACTGCATCATACTTAGCAAGGAATATCTTGAGAATTGATGTCTGGTTTTCTACATCCCCAATATTATTGTTGTTCATTTGTTATGTTTTAACACAATTACTATGCAGAAAATAAAATATTGTTTCTTTTTGAGAACTTTTTATTCATATTTTTGTTGTGATCAGTATTTTTTATATACAAAAGTTAGTTAAGTTAGCTGCACATTTTTGTGTTGTTTGGTGCAATGGAACTGCAGCTCCTGAGAAAAAGAGGGGAAAAAAAGAAAACTTTTCTTATTAATATTGAATAAAATTATTGCTGTAACTATTGTATGTAAATATTTTAAATCCACTTGATGTGTTTGTGTATGTATATTGAAAATTTATCAAAGATACCAAATATAATAAATAATAAGCACAATTTCTTGTTGCATTTCTTATGCTCTGTTTGGAACACCAGTTAAAAAGTTTGAACAAAAGGCTGTTGCAATCTTTTTTATCCTAATTCTTAAATATTGCTATATTCAAAGATACCAAATATAATAAATAATAAGCACAATTTTCAGTTTTATCTGTTTAATATAATGCTTCTTTCAGTGTTTCAATACAATTTCTTGTTGCATTCCTTATGCTCTGTTTGGAACACCAGTTAAAAAGTTTGAACAAAAGGCTGTTGCAATCTTTTTTATCCTAATTCTTTAATATTGCTATATTCCCTTCTTGTCGTCTATCATTAAATATATGATTTGTTGAGATGAAGATTAAGAAATAATAATAGTTAGCTTAGTATGTAAATATGAACCATTAAGTGGTTTGGAAGAAAATCAGTACCTTATGATGGCTTTAGTATTGAAGTTTATCAATCAAGTTCCATTGAAATAGGTTTGAGAGAATTTTCCCACAAATTTTATTGAATGTTAAACATATCTTCTCTCTATGTCTTGACTTTAAAATTCATAAAAAATGAAGTTTGCAAGTTACTGTACATGCTTTAATTTATTCCATCAGTTTCAAGATCTTAATCTTTCATTGCTAAAGCATGGAGGCTCTTTCTTTGAACAGATTGCAATTGTCTGTTGTATTTGAAAAAGTGCAGTGCTTGACATCAGTATGTAACTACTTAAAATAAGATTTATAAGAGTATAAATATGAATACGTGTTTCCATTATGTAGTATTTAAAGTATATTTGTATGTTCATAAGACTTCTTAATTTCTCTTGCCTCTTCCTTTGATTAATAGGTCTCTAGCATATAGTACTTTAGCAGATCTTGTCCATCATGTACGACAGCATTTACCAATGAAAGAATTGGCCATTGCTGTAAATGTGTTCTCTAAAAATGTCCATGATGATTCCCTAACAACAAGTATCCAGACTATGTCCTGCAAGCTACTTCTGAACTTAGTAGAATGCATCTGTAAAAAGTCTGAAAATGGAAATGTAAGAGTATTTTGTGTGACATGTGTTTATTTGAAATGTTTGTAGTAATACGTACATTTTAGAGAATTGTCTGGAAGAGAAATTTGTAATCTCATTCTTTTTCTGATGAAGATTTTAACTGGTGCTATCTAATCACATTTTTTTTAATGTAAATAAATTAAAGTGTTTGAGGCTTAGTTCTTTAGAATTTTTATAGATTACTAAAAATCCAAGATTATCACACATGTAACCAATTTTTGAACAAATTGTGATTTGAAGACAGTTGCACATGCAGTCTGTAGGGGCATAGTGTGTGTGGGTCAAAAGACAATTCCAATAACTTAAAATGTCTAAAAAGTCCACTATTTTCTTATTTTTTTTGAAGAAAAAACACTTTACTTTCATGTAAATCACTTATATACTTTATTTTGAAGAAAAAATCCAAATTTTTTTTAGAAAAAGACACCCCACTACAGTGCTGGCAACTCCCCTGATTTGATATATATGTATGTGTGTAATTTGATACATTCATGATAACATTTTGACAAGTTAGTAATTGAATTTTTCGAACATTCTTTCCCAGTTTATAAAACTTAAACTATGTTATGTGTGTAATTATAGTTACTTGGAATCACTGTAGATCAGGTGATATCTTTTCTCAAAATATTCTAATTTTATCAACTGCACGAAAACAATTGATGATTTTTACCAGAGAAATGTGAACTTTATGACAATTACACATAGGAGAGTTACAGTTGATCAATGCTAGTTGTTACTAATAACTCACTGTTATGCACCTGACTTTCATAAGGTTTCTTTGTGGGATTGGTATATGAGTCACAGGCTTTAGAACATGATACAAGTTTCAGAATTTGAGAAACAATTTACCGAAGTTCACTTTTTCTTTTTAAATTAAAGCCTTTATTTAACTAACTAAAAGTTTCAGCTAGGTCTACTTTGTGTTTTAATTTCTTTACTTAATTTTGTAGAGCCTTAATCTTTAAATTTGATTTATGCTTAAACTTTAGCCTAATTTATGAATCCTAAATTATTTTAGCTTAATGCTAAAACAGTAACTCAGTATTCTAACAATCACATTGATATGTTTAAAAAAGCTACTCAAACTGTACTGTTGTCAGTTGTCCTGATGATACTAAATTATGTAGTTATATGGTTGATAATGACTTATCTCATATATGTTTGTAACTTTTTCTGTTAAACAAGAAGAAAAGTGCTGGCTTAAGGAGTGTGTAGTTCAGTGTAACAGTGCCTCACAGTTAAACTTGTAACACCATAATTCAACAAATATAATAGAACAGTACTGTTTATTTTAAACTTGAAACAACAAACAATTTACAAAACAAAAAAATGTGATATGTTTCTTCACAATATGATAATATAATTTTGAAACATTTTCCAGGGTCGTGATCTTCTGATGAGAATGTTGGAAGTATTTGTTCTGAAATTTAAAACTATTGCTAAACAACAGCTTCCGGTTTTAATACAAAAATGGTAAGTTACTCTAATGATGTGAAAGATATGTTTAATTGTGTTTGATGTGAAATTGTCATGTAAGTTTTGATCAGTAATTTCTGCTCAGTGGCTACTGTCGTGATATACATATCTTACATTTCAAATTTTAGGTTTAAAAATTTGTTGACTATACTGACATGCAGTTTACATATTAAAAAAGTGCCTTCTGAAAAATAAATTTCATTTATAAAGTGTAGTTAAAAACTATAAATGTCTGTGCACTTTAAAATGTATTCAAACTCTTAACCCTTTCACGACGGGCTCAGTATAAAATACACGAGTTTGAATACACATTTGCATATGTTAAATATTTATATAACTTTTAATGCAGTATGCGTATCTTCACAAAATTTGGTAGACTTTTAGTAGATATTACAAGTCTTTTGTACACAAAATAATATAATTTATTTTTAATGAAGTATTATTACTAAAGATTTGTTTGTGAACATATCGAGCCTATTTTATTACTAGTCTGAGTGGGAAGTGATTTTCAGCTTATGATTAATAAAACTATTCTTTGTCCCCAAAATCACAAATATCATTTGTGTAATCTCTAAAACTTCCTAAATATTAGAACATCAATGTTGTGTTTTGGAACACTTTCATTAACCATTCTTCAAAAAATGTACATCACATATAATAGTTAAACGAACTGCCTAAATGTCATGTTAGTGTAGCCTATATAACGTGTAAAGTTTATTATACTCTAATCTATTATTGTGATGGCACACGATGAAACACACAGTTGGCATGTAATGCTGTTTTAATACAAGAAGGGAAATAATGCCTCTGTAGCCACAAAGAATATCAGAGAAGTTTATGGAAATGTTTTGAACATTCATAAGTGTCAACGATGGTTCAACAAATTTTGTTTAGGTGTCTTTAGCCTTAGAAACTGTGATGGCATGGGCTAACATGTTGGAATTGATATTGATGCTCTGAAGATGCTTATTGAGTCTAATCCATGGCGACACATTCGTGAAATGGCCCTGAACGATGGTTCAACAAATTTTGTTTAGGTGTCTTTAGCCTTAGAAACTGTGATGGCATGGGCTAACATGTTGCAATTGATATTGATGCTCTGAAGATGCTTATTGAGTCTAATCCATGGCGACACATTCGTGAAATGGCCCTGAAATTGTATGTCTCTCATGAAACAATATGTAAACATCTAAGGAATATGGGAAAACTCCATAAATAAGGTGTTTGTTTGCTTCATGAACTCTTCGATGATCATCGTTTCCAACGTGTCTCGTCTCTTCTGGCCCATAATGCATGTGAACCATTTTTGGACAGTGATGAAAAATGGATTCTCTATGCGAATATTAGACACCAAAAACAATGGCTCAATCGTAGACAAAAACCACTTTTGGCCCCAAAACCTGGACTCCATCCGCAAAAAGTGATGCTTTGAATTTGGTGGGACATCAGAAGAGTAATTCATTTTGAATCCACAGCGAACTGTCAGTGCAGAGATATACAGTCAGCAACTGGAAGGTTTATATCAAACCCTTCATCAGAAATGCCCTTCACTCATTAATTGGAAAGGTGTTCTTCTCCACGACAGTCCATGTGCACAGGTGGCATGTTTGATGCAACACAAGATTATGGAGTTGGGTTGGGAAGTACTCCCCACCCACCATATTCTCCAGATATGGCACCATCAGATTACCATCTTTTTCATTTGCAGCAACAACATCTTAATGGGAAAAACGTTTGCAAATGTGGAAGGTGTTAAAAAGAACATCAACATGTTTTTTGCTTCAAAGTCAAATGATTTCTTTAATCAGGGTATTAACAACCTGATTGTTAGATGGTAAAGCAATCGATAAGAATGGAGAGTGTTTCATTTAATAAATGTTTTGTTTTGTCATATAAGTTGTTTTGGTTTTTTGTCTAAAAAAAGCGACATTAATTTCTTGATGACCTAATACATTTCAAATGTTTGTTTTCAGTAAAACTTTATATTTTATCTGTTATTTCCTCTACCCTACTTCTATACAATTTGACCAACCTCGTAACAACCAAAAACAAAAAAAAGAAAGAAATCTAAATTACCGTTTTTTTCTTTTTAGAAGACTTCAAATTGTAACATGAAATTACATTCATTTATCCTAAGTAGCTTTAAACTCGTAACAGTATACATTTATTTACACTTAAATTTTATTGTTTTATTGCTCTGTAATTGCCCTTTAAACATCTAACTACTACTATTCATCTATTATAAGTTTTATATCACTTGGGAAACGTGGAGTTGATGTTACGCTATTGAATTACATTACCCATGAGCTAATCTGAGTCCAAGCTGTTTGCATGCATGCCTTGTGAAACATTTTTATTATATTAATATTATTTTACCTAATCTAACCTTAACTAATCTAAAGAGATCCCTATTTTAACATTTTAGTTACTTTTATAATAATAAATAAAGAATAAACATGAAAAACAAGAAATATAGTACTTACCCGGGTTCTTTTTTTTTTTTTTTTTGCTGTCGACTGATAATGACACTTAACCTTAATTTTTTCTACTAATGGTAATAATGCACTAAATAATTTTTATCTAATTAACATAAACTAATAACATGCAAAAAGGAGATAATTTCCCCTAACTATAACAATTTTTCTGGCTTTCCAACTATGCGACAAGAACCTTTACAAGTTCATCCAAGCTAGTCATTATTTTCCCATGAGAATGAAGCTTGTACTAACTGAGAAACTGATAATTCTTTGTTCAGAAAAAAATGTAATATAATACATCATTTGATAGATGAAAACCTTGGCTTTATATTGGTTATACATAATATAGAATTAAATGTAAGAGAGAACTATTAATAAATCCTGAAAGAGAGAATGTGACAGGTGGGTGTGGCAAGAGGGGTCTGATTTTCTCCTTGATAGCTCTGTAACCAAACAATATTGAAGGCTGTATAAATTATGGTCTGTTTGAGCAATAACGATTTTATAGAGAGCATTTTACGTTTAATTTTGTACATTTTTGAGGGATGATGACATGCTAAGTCAAAATGTGTCCTGTGTGTTAGACTAGTGGAAATTTAGGATTTTTTTATGTATTTCCTTTTAGAATTAAGAATTTAAAACTTGTATACTATTAAAATATGGATTATTAGCTAATATTTTATGTTATTCCAATTGGTATAACATAAACAGAAAGTAGTTTAATAAAATTTTGAATGTAAGACACTAAAATCTTGTGTCATGCGCCATAAAGGATACCCGGGCTGAAAAAAAAATCCTCAATTTCTCATGGTATGAGATTTGTGACATATACTCTCTTGGTATCTCCTCTTTTCTAATTTATTTACCACCTCTCCAAGAAGTACAAAAGTTAACCTCAACTACTTATTATAATGTTGCCTTCACATAGGCAAAGCATAATTTGTATAGCCTTCAATCTTATTTAGTTACACAGCTATAAACTAGAAAATCAGATCCCTCTTGCAATAACCACCTGTCACATCCTCTGTTTCAGAAATTGTCAGTATTTTTCTCTGATATATAATACTATATTATATATAGCCAATAGAAAACCAAAGATTTAATTTATCAAATGAAGTATTATACTACATAGGCCCAGCATGGCCAGGTGGTTAGGGTGCTTGACTCACAGTCTGAGTGTCACGGTTTTTCTAATCCTCGTCCCACCAAATATGCTTGCCCTTTCAGCCGTGGGGGCATTATAAAGTGATGGTCAATCCCACTATTTGTTGGTAAAACAGTAGCCCCAAGAGTTAGCGGTGGGTGGTT